TTTGATGTAATCCATGTTTCTATGTAATGAAATATGTRTTCTATGTAAATGTGGTATTTGGGGCGTTACAGATAAGAAAGTCACATTAATATAATACATGTGGACAACCTTCGTGGATAATGAGATGACATGAAAACCTGGTATAATGGGTAAATTTAAATCAAAATGTTACCCAATGCTATAATGGATAAATTTTTCAAAATACAATGTTCTAATAAAAAATAGTTTGAAAGTACATTGCTTTAAATACTGTTGCTCCGCGAATCAATCAGAATGGAGACAGGGAGGAGAGGTAAAAGAGACAGATCTATCACTGTCGGTCACGTGAGCAAGAGAACCTGTGGCTAGATTGAATCATTCTCAAGAAGAGCTGATGCTTGAACAACTTCGTTTCCCATTGGAGCCTAAATAAGCTCGGGTATGCTCCAAAAGCCCACAGGAACGGAGAATCCCATTTCCTTCAGAAACAAAAAAAACTGAAAATACAATGCTATAATAATTTTTTTTATGAAATTAGATTGTTATTTTGTACATTTTCCCGTTAATTTAAAATTCAAAATCCAATTCCCGAAATCCAATTCCCGACCCATTGGGCTCACGGAGAAGCCCAACCCATATCACACCCGATCCGACCCGATAGTGTTTTTCAACTCTGCTCTGCTAGCTGTGCTGATCATCCTGGTTGCTCATTGTTCTTACGGCTCTCGGTTGAACTTCATGGCGCCAACAACTCAGGTACTCTTTCTTTCTTCTTCCCTTTATTTGATTATTTGTATAATGAAATTTGTTACATGGTTATACCTTTTTCATCTTGATTTGTGTAAAGTTGTACCCAATTTACTTGTTTATTATTTTGAGTTTAGATAGCGTTGATTGAACGTTTTGTTGCAATTTCTTGTGTTTTCAGTTTCAGCAGAGTGTAAACCCGATTTCAGAGTGATTCTTTACCTTCTTTTAAGATATGATCATGTGCTTTGAGTTGGGGTTCTGTAAAAAGAATTAAAAACAGCAAATAACAAGATCTGAATTGGAATTCTTCAATGAATCGTTTGAAAACTCACTTGCTCTGGCAAAAGATGTTTGAAAAATCTATAGGGGCTAAAATTTTGTGGGGAGTGATTATTATTTGAGCCATTGTACATGGCCTTGGACCCTTTGTGTTTTAACAATTAGAAAATAATCTCCAGCATGCCTAAATAACTAACAAGAAACTCCACTTTCTGCTTCTTCTCCTTTTCCAGCTAATTGTAGTGTTTCATAGGTTTCATTTTTGCATTTGTAAGTGTGTTTGCTGTTTACAAATGAAGTGCCACCAAGAATGGTTCAAAATACTATTCACTCTTTGATTGGGGAATGGAATGGTCTTCTTTGGGGTTAATAATTTGACATCTACCTCAGTACCTCTTTAATTCTTAAACCACAGATTTTCTAATTGTTCAATCAAAGTAAATAGTTTACTTCTGTAATTATAATCTTCTCCAATGAATTAATTAATGACATGGCAATTGGTTCATTTTACCACAAAAGTCAAATAATCCCCCCTTTCTTGACTTTGCCTTTGGTTTTATTTTCTTTTTTGGAAGTGAATAGGGGAAGTTTTAGTTTTTAGATTCCTTTACTGTAATCTTAAAGCTTTTACTTTTTATTATGTTTGCAGTTCATTCACTTTTTCTTTTCCCAATAGGCTTTTAACCTTTTAGAGTTCCTTTTTCATATTTTTAGGTAGAGAACATGTTAAATGGATATTCTGTAGTATAGCTACATGCATTCTGGACTGGATGTCTGAGGATCATGGAAAAGTTCATGTTTTGCAATCATCAACCATCAACTTGGTGTCATCTGTTTAGCTTTTAGACTTCACGGATAGATACATTGATACTTGAACTTCCTTCATATGACAGGTATTGCTTAAAGAGAGCTCACATGTGAGAACCATCATACTAAACAGGCCCAAGCAACTGAATGCGCTTTCACTTGAAATGGTAAAATGTGAAATGTATTGGATTCATTGCTATCCATCATAGCATATTCTTCTTTCTGGTACATCTTGTGTTTCTCAAATCCATGATGTTCTCCGATATTTTCCTTCAAAGGCAGGTGTTTCTGAAATTGCTTTATTTGATCATGTGGTATGAAGTTGTAAATACCATATGGCTGGTGCACCACAGGCATCTAAATATGTGAGATTTATGTAGTTGCTTGTATCATCAAATGTGGAGCCTTTAATATTTGAATGTAGAGTTGAAGGATTTCATTTTCTATCTCCTTTATCACCACGATCTCCATCCTATCGTTATGTTGGTATTAGTGTTGTTATTACTATTCTGTGCCAACATGACTGTTGTAACTGTATATGATAGGAGTATAATTATATTGTGAATAAGGTAGACAACTACCCTCAGAGTCAAGATTTGATGGTAGAGTTAATTAAAAATTGAATAAAGTAGGCATACTCGAGAAAATAAGAAATTATATCAGACAGGATATGATACTAAAGTTATTATGGATGACGTCTTCTGACACTTTTTCTTTACTAGACCTGACATGAAAATCTTATGTCTTCATCTAATTCATCCTCTCTTGACATAGGTAGTAGGATAGTTAGATTGGTATGCATAACACACACTCTCAAGTATCCTAACACACTTGCACACAAAATGTCTATTTTACAACACCAAAATCGGTGTTCAGACTTGAAAAAGAGGCTATATTGTTTAGAGGATTTGGGTTATCACCACCAGCTGGATGAATAGTTTACACTATGGATGTAAGACTAGTAATTATTACCAATCTTTTCTCTAGCCTTCCATTGGATTTGCTTGATCTTAAAATTTCTGCTGTCCATTTAATTTGCTTGCTCTGAAGTTGTCTAGTCAAAGAAGGTTTAAATTTATGTTCCATGCCTGCATGACATTTTCTTCTTTGACTTCACCCGTTTTCTTCTTCCATTGGTATTGCGATTTGAAAATAACTTATGCTAGCACCACTGTGTTGTGTTCTTACATTCTAAAGAATCCAGTTGTTATGTTTCCTTTTCATCGAAATAGCTACACACGTATGTCTCTGAGGAGGTAAACTCACAACCTAAGGGATGTAGAGTCTCAATTGGTACCACTGGGCCAAGGGCCCTTTGTCGGCTGCTTATTTTTCCAATCATGTTTCAGACACTTTCTATTTGGTTATATCTCTAAACTATATTTTTTTATGAAGTATCATAACTTCAATGTGTTGCTGAAAGGGAAAATTTGACCTGTCACTTGTCTATTATCTTTCTAGGTATCTCGTCTCTTGGAACTCTTTCATGCCTACGAGGAGGATCCCAATGTCAAGCTGATAATTTTGAAGGTATTTCCCCATCCAAGTAGGATCCATTGATTGATTTAGCATGAATAAAACATAGTCATTATTTAAGCATGAATAGAGGAATGATAACATGAAGGCATGATCAAGTTGAGCTGCTACCAATCTACCATGTTCAAGAGATTGCTTTTGTTTAGTTTTATAGATTAGTTTCCGATCAGTGCTGTTTCTGCCACCAGATTGCTTCTCGTTGCAAACAGTTTATTATAAAGCACCAGAAAGGAGTCAAGTGTGGAGAGTGATGCATTTGATAAATGGTTGATGATCCAGTGTAAGAGTAATTTCTTCACCACATTTCAGGAATTAGGGCAATATACTGAACTAATATAGGATTGACAAAGAAGATCCTTTTGTCCTGTAATTAACAAATATGCACCCTTCCACACTCAGGTGGGAAAAGATGTATCAAACATGTTCAACATGGATGCATGAAGATCATATGCCCATTAGTCAATGCTTTAGTAAATATGCAATATCCTCTTATAGTTGAACAAATAGAGTGTGCACACATACCCTTAGTAAACTAAGGCCACATAGATTGTGTTGGATCATATAATGGTTTCTGAGGCGAAAATCCTTGAATGTTCTGGTATTATCAGCTAAATTGGTAGGTATACGAGTATATCCACATAATCTCCTCTTCAGGCCCTCTACCGAGGAAGACACTCCTCACATTTGAACTTCAAGTTTACAAATAATAGTTGGAATAATGTGTGTTTAGTAGAGTTCCATGAGCACTAATATTTGCATATACTTTCAAACTCTAGGCTAGAGTTGAAATATATATGCGTTACTATTTTCTATTGAACTTTTTATACTTTTCACTCGGTAATAAAAAAATTAAATGCTTTTCACATCTTTTTCTAGTGGGGAGGAATAGTGCTTGAATGACGATTCTCAGACGAGGGAATCGTTCCTCTCTAAATAAAAAGAAGCTAGTTCTATTGATAGAGCTTTCACTTCTGCACATAGAAGACTTTTTTCCCCTTCCATTCAAGCACAAAGCCAAAGACTTCAGCAACAGTCTCACRCACCTGCTAGTCTAGTCGCTCATAAGCTACAACACTTTATTGTCTGCAGATTCAGTTTTTATTTGTTTATGACTCACAAGGGAATATGGATCATGCAGAGTGAAGGAAGGGCTTTCTGTGCTGGTGGCGATGTTACAGCTGTTGTTAAGGATATTAATAAAGGTTAATGCCTTTGTTTCCTTCCTAATTCATTTCTCTTCAGTCTGCTCATCCAAATATAATCAAGCTGCAAGCTGTTTTCCATTCCATGAACAATTAGGCTTTTGAACACTCAGTATTAAAAGTTGCATAATGTTGTAATGAGTTAATGGTGCTTTATTGCTTGTCTGATGAGATTTTTGGGTATCAGGTAACTGGAAACTAGGGGCAAAGTTTTTTTCAACAGAATTTACATTGAATTATTTGATGGCAACATACACTAAACCTCAGGTAAGCAGCTCTCAGATTCACTGATTTCCTTTTACTAGTACAGTTCTTCAAGAAGTACAAATTCTTTCACTGACCACCATGCACATTTCAACACATTGTTACTTACGATATGTGTGATCTTAAGTTGACTTCAAATCATACTTAAAGGTGTCACTCCTTAGAGGAATTGTGATGGGAGGTGGTGGAGGCGTTTCAGTACATGGTAGATTTCGAGTTGCTACAGATAATTCGGTATCTCTCTTGCTACATTCATCTGCTTGAAGAAACTTTCAGCTGTCAGTTTTAGCATCCTATGTGTGTGTATATATATATTCATTGGTTAATGCTTCTGTTAATTTAATTTGTTATGCTTTCTGCTATTTTTGTAACACTGCTAAAGTTGTAGTTATTCATTGTTTAATTCTATTCACCGCCTACAACCTTCCATAAGAGTAGTAATCTTTCCAGAATCGACAATTTTTTAAACATATTTGATTCTCATTTGGCAGGTTTTCGCCATGCCAGAGACTGAATTAGGGTTATTCCCAGATGTAGGTGCCTCTTATTACTTATCAAGACTACCTGGATTCTTTGGTAATTTCATTTTGATCTTAATCTGATCGCGTATTATATTTTATGATATAAAATGATCTTTTCGCATGAGAAATTCTTTGTTCACGAATAATATTATCATTAGGACAGAATGAATATAGGGTACAGTACATTGTTGAGCACCCAAATACTCTATATTCTCTTTTTTACTAGAATCTTGTTTCATCTAGAAAAGCGTTAGGTATGTTTGTGTTATTGGTCCTGAAGTAGCAAGAATAATGTTGAAGACTTACCATCCTGTGTAAAGTTTTCGTACTTTGAGGTCTATTCATGGTATGTTTTTAACTTTTACTTGAATGTATGGAAATATGGAATGGTAGGTTTCTGATACACTCTTGTATTCAATATGGAAACAGAAATGGATTACAAGAACATTAGAGGAAGTCGGATGATCATGATATAGCATTCCAAGCAATTCGAGAAGCTGTGGGATCTCCTAAGCTCACGCCAATACATAATACAATCCTGCCCTCCCCTTCCTTACTTATATTTTATCCTCGACAAACCTCCAACAAAATACCAATATATTCATACTACCTATACTGCCCCTGCCAACAAATAAACTTCCCACAATACACTTACATTGTTTTGGGGTCCTTCTAGAATATTCCAGTCTAATCGGGGGTCTATCAATACCTCGCCCCACGAGCTTCACCTTGTCCTCAAGGTGAAAGTCCGGAAACTGGTCGCTGACAACCTCAAAATCCTCCCATGAAGAGCTTCAAACAGATAGGACCTCTAAGTGGTTAGCATCACCTGCGCCTGGCCACCAACGAGGATTACTGATAAGGCTGTAACTTTTGGAACACCCACTTGCCGATGGAAAGATCATCATCTTTACGACATTGGTTAGCCTGCTGTTTCATACGCTGTTAGCTTTGAGCCGGTGCATTCGAGCCAAATCTAATGGCTCATCTCTCTCAAGGAGAAGCTGATCCATGTGACACTAGACAAGGTGAACATTTGAGCTCCCAAGTGGTAGGTAGCATTATACCAGTACTCAACCCAATATTGGGCATACCGAAAGTAATGCAACATAGGTATTGTTCAAGTGTCCAATTCACCACCTTTGTTTGCTATCTGATTGAGGGTGATAATCAGTGCTATACTTTTATTAGGTGCCTTGTAAGTGAAGAATCTCTCTCTAGAATTGACTAAGAAGACTTCATCTCTGTCAAAGACAATTGAGGTCGGAACCTCATGTAGCCGAGCAACCTCATTGACAAACACCTTTGTGACGGAGTAAGCGGTGTAGGGATGTTTGAGACCATGAGATGGGCATACTTGCTCAAGTGGTTGACCTTCACTAGAATGGTAGTCATATCGAGGGAGCTAGGTAAACCGTTTATGATTTCAAAGGCAACGACACATGTTGTAGTAGCAACCCCACAGGGGATCTCGACAAGTGTTTGTTTTTGTTGACAAACTAAACATCGTTTAACCATGTCAAATATGAGAGGAAGTCGTCCTTTATATATCAGCAAACCTTGATGCAAATAAAATCCCAGAAGTCTATCTGGTCGTGACTCAATATCCTTTCTAAGTGTGTTTAAGAAACGATCATTTCGCTCTTCCTATCTAGATTACTTCCCACTGGCGTCATTTGGCCCTCCTATCACAGAACATTTGGTGTTTAAAGGTTTTCGAGATAAGGTATCCACGACTTCGTTTCTACTACCAGGATGATAAACAATTTCAAACTTGTTGCCCAGTAGTTTGCTAATCCACTTCTGATATTCGGGTTCACCATTGCGCTATTCTAAAAAAACAAGTTTTGTTGATCCCCGCACACCGTGAAAATTCGTCCCAATAAATACACCCACCGCTTATGAATGGCTTGGACTATCGCCATCAATTCCTTCTCGTAGATTGACTTCGACCGTTCTTCTGAGGCCAAGACCTGGCTAAAATAAGCTATTGATCGTTCTTGTTGAATGAGGACTCCCCTAAACAATATCCCAAGGGTCAATCTCAACTCCCAATGATTTACTCATGAGAAAAATCTGGTAATCTCACAACGGGGACCGTAGATAATACTTGTTTCAACGCGTAAAAGGCTATCGGACCTTTTTCGTTCCATGTAAACTGGTTTCGTTTTAGCATGTATGTCAAGAGAGCAACTATCTTACAATATCCACAAATGAACTTATGGTAGTACCCGGGCATCCCCAAGAAACCCCGTGGTTCTATGACGCTATTAGGAGCTGGCGAACCCAACATTGCTTAGACCTTGGTTGGATCCATCTCCACGCAAAAATAACATGCCCTAGATACCCTAACCTTGGTTGCCCAAATTCACACTTCCGAACATGCCCTAGATACCCCAACCTTGGTTGCGGAAATTGGCACTTAACATTTGTATACAATTGATGTCTTCAAGTATAGCAAACACCTCCTCTAAGCTGCACGACGTGTTAAACCGTAGCACAAAACCATGATATCAAAAAAACAAGTACAAATTTGAGTGGGTACTCTCTGATACCTTGTTCATCATCCCTTGGAGCGTTGATGGGCTCAAAAGGCATGAGGAGGAATTCATTTATGCTCATCCCCGCAGTGAATATCCACTACCATGTCGCAGTCCCTATGGATCTTGTTTTGGATGCCCCATCTTGTTGGACCATTCTCCCTGAGGTTTTTTTTTTATTATTTTATTTTTTTCATCTATATTTCCTACCAAGCTTCTCCCAAGCTTACGGTATATAGCAGACGTAACTCACCTCTAACCAAAGGTTCTAAACCATTCACAAATTGACAGAGAAATTGACGCAAAATGAAGGGAGGAAGGATTACAAATACAATCCTTAACACATGAATTTGGTGATCCATCAATTAGCAAGCTTCTATAACAACGAGAATTATTATTCGACGTTCAAAAGCATAAAACAATGAGTTCAAATAAGCAAGGAATATACTAATTACCCCATAAGACCTAGTTTCCTACATAGACCATAAAAGTAAAATACTCTAATAAAATAATAATATAGCTAATAAAACAGTTAAGACTTTCCGTTTCTTGAAGTTCTTGTCCTACTCTTCAAACTCATAAGGACAATTTTTTTTGGAGTGTCTAATGCAATACTTGTGGTTTTAGAAAGCGGATGAGGCGCACACTTTGAGGTGCCAAAAATTGTACTTGAGACGCCTTAGCGGTAAGGTGGTGAATGGCGAGGAGACGTGCAATTTCTTAAGTGCTACTATTTTGGTGAAAACATAAAATATAGGGTGTTGGTATATGCACACCTAATGACATCAAAATCAGGTCAAATCATACATTGAAAAAGTAAAAAAGATGTTTTGATGTTGATTTGTGTGAGGATGATATTAATAAGTAGATGTGCATTTAGCTGACCTAAAATATATTTTTATTTCTCGAGTCAAACATGTACGAAGCCTTTCCCTTGTTCATTGCTCCTATTTCTTTTATTTAATAAAAGACTCTTTTCTCAAGTCATAATTATTTATGGCACCTTTTCTCTCTCGACCTCCCTTTTTGTTAGTATATGTATATTATTCTATACATATTATACTTGATAATATATATATATATATATATATATGTATGTATGTATGCATGTATTCTATTAACCCCTTGAATAATTTGTGTTCTTTACTCGTGTTTCTATCTTCGAGTTCCATATTTTATGTTTTTTAAGGTTTGGTTTGGTTTGGTTAGTATGTATATGTATATATATATATATATATATTTATGTGGGACTGGGAAATGTAGTTATATTTATGTATGTTGTATATATGTTTTTTATGTATAATGTGGTAGCGGAATGTAAATTAAAATATATATAATGTATAACGTATACATATTTTTTTAGTATATATAGTTATTTTGAATTCTATTTCTTTTCCACCGTGAGACTTACGCCTAGGAGTGCCTCGAGGCTTACGCCTCACCTCACTGAGAGGGAATGCCCTATCTCACTTTTTTGTACTTTAAAATCTTGGCGGTACTTTACCGTACCACTATGTTTCAACGTCAAAAATTGTTTAGAGTGTTCTCTCCACTGTAGATCGGAATTGCCTCAATACTTCCTACCACGTGATGGGCTGATGCTTATGCTCCAAGTGAAACCATCTCAGTATGTCACCCTCAAAGGCAATGACCGAAACTTCGATTTGTTCCTCTTGACCGAGGGGGTTAAGCCTAATAGTGTCCAGCCCTAAGAACCCATCCGTTCGGGCCCTTCTCGTCAAAGGTGGAATCTCTAATCTTTTCACCTTAGCTGCAAAGAATGTTTACTAGTGGTACAACCCAACACCATGTCTCTTTGACTCCTTTGCATGCTTAATTAGCCACTCGAGTTTCTTCATGATAGTCCAAACCTTCTTGGAGAGAGCCGACCTCGGCCTTAACGTTTTTAATACTCTCCTCCACATCTTCTACTCTCGTTGCTACCCTTCTCAACATCCTCTCTCAACCTTGCTCACATAGCAATTGATACACTCTTGTATTCGATATGGAAACATAAATGGATACAAAAACAAATTAGAGGAAGTCCCATGAGTATTATATAGAAATATGTACCCTCTCCTGCGCTCCCCTTCACTTATTTATATTCTATCGTTGACAAACCTTCAACAGAATACTAGTATATACTACCCATACTGTCTGTGCCAACAAATAAACTTCCCACAGTACCCTTATGCTATTTTCGGACCCTTCTAGAATATGTGAGTGTAATCGGGGGTCTATTGGTTTCTGAAGTTCATCAAGAGCCTCAGTTACCTAGTAAGCGCTTACCCAAGTTGAACATGATTTTCAAAGAAACATTTCAAGAGCCTCACTTACCCGGTTAGAGCTTACCCAATTTGTGTTGGTACAGAACCTTAAGTGTTTAGTTACCCAGTAAAAGGCAGTAAGTGTTTAGTAAACAACCCCTGTGTTCATGATAGATGGGATGTTGTTTGTCTAACAAGTTCAACTACTAGGGAGATGGCCTTATTGAAGTTTCTTCATTTGGTGGGATGATATGTATCCCTAACAACAGTTAGATGATATGTTGGATCTCTTTGGTGGAATAATTAGTGATATGAGAAAGTTTAGGCCTCTAGAGAGGCCTTAGAATCTCTTGGGTTCTCTCTCAAGACTATCTACGAACATTTGGATATTTTAATTCAAAATCTGAGATGCTTGTCATCAACAATGTGCTTTTCAGTGATAATTAAACATTGAGGATTCATAACTTAGCCAAACTATATATTGAAACTTTATATGGATGGGTTGCCAAAAGAAAAGGAAACATTATTATTACCGCTGAACTACTTAAACCTATGATTAAAAGTTGAATGTTGCACTCTCGGCAAGACGTAAATGGCTAACTTTCGTTGTTAGAGTATTGAGCTATTGCTTAAGATCTCAATTGGATGGTACAGAAGTTAGTTAGAAGGACTTAAAAATTGAAGTTACTTCTTTCTTTACATCCCCCTTACTTTGGTTTGTGTCAGCCCCCTCTATGGCAGCTGTTACATGTCAGGATATGGTTCTTACTGTACTTTACTAAAATAGGAAGTTGATTAATACATATAAGAGTTGTTTGGATATTGGTCCACTCAAACAGGTGAAAAATGTCCATAAAGATTTCAATAATCTTCATCAGTATCATGGAAATTCATGCCTATTATACGGAATTTGTGCCCCTTGAAATTCTTGTTGGTGTTCCCGGAAGTTTTCAAAAACTGTTGTCGTTATTCAGATGAATGCCATTGTTAGTCTTGAAATCACAAAAGATAGTTAATCATGTGTTGGTCTATGTGCGTATTTGATATGAGTTTATATTATGGCAGGCGAATATGTGGGTCTTACAGGTGCTAGATTGGATGGTGCTGAAATGCTTGCATGCGGTCTTGCCACCCACTTTGTCCCATTGGAGGTACATTCCACTTTTATTTTTGCAAATCCATTTCTCACTAAAGTAAAATGACCTGGTATGTCTACAACAAAGAGAGGAGGCAAGATACCACAACAAGTCATTTCTCCTCAATAGTATGCCAAATATGGATGCATCAGGTAAAAGTAAGAGCACAATGAGTCGTGAGCTTAGTATGTGTTTTAGTTTTATGTATATATACAAATATATCTATATATATATATATAGAGAGAGAGAGAGAGAGAGAGAGAGAGAGAGAGAGAGAGAGAGAGGAAGGTTTAAACGAGATCGGTAACAGAATAAGAGAATATGGAAACGGCCAAATCAAGTGCAAAATCACATGTGGTTTTACACTAAGGGTGTGCGTGCGACGTGCGACGTGGCTCGTGACCTTAGGTCGCGATCGAAGTCGCTTGAATCACATGTGATTTTACACGTGATTTTAGAGTAAAATCACATGTGATTTGACCGTTTTTATTCTCTTATTTAGTTGTCGTTCTTGTTTGAACCTGACACACACACTCTCTCTATGTATATATATAGGAGGTTCAGGGAAAAACCCCAAAAAAATGAAAAACTGAGGAACACCCTGGTAACCATTCATCTGGACAATATGCACATGTGAATACAAGTAATTGAAGTTGTTTCTTGGTTTTTATGCATGTGTGCATACGAGACAAATTGCTTACAAATTTCTTGTATGCACAAATGCATACTGAAAAGGGTGTTCCTTAGTTCTTCATTTTCTTTTGCAGTTTTCCCCTGAACCTAACCCTATATATATCGAAATGTTTGAATTTTGAGATAATTTCTTTCTCTTATTGTTTTGGTTTTAGACATGCATCAGATGAATCAAAGTTTTCTTTCAAATCCATAACCTTCTAATAGGTTTATAGAATGCCACTTTAATACGTCATAATGGCACTAAACTTGTCAGAAGGTTATGTTGTTAAAAAACTCATTTAAGGTCAATGGCCTAAACAGTCCTATTATGTATATGCATACAGATACATGTAGAACAGTATAAATGTACCCAATCGTGGTATCCAAATGTGAAATGTTAGCACCCATATCCTTGCAACAAAGTACGTTATCATCTTTCTCCTTGGGAGAAACGTTTTAGGAAATTATCATCCATTAAATGAGTCCATTTGTTTCTACACCCATTGAAGTATTCAACTTAGAAAGGTAACATCAATGATTAAAAAAAATTAACATCAACCATATTTGTAATACAATTTTTGACTTGAGTGTCATTTTTTCATTTCTAGAGCTCAAATCTGTTTTGGATACTTGCCTGACACATTCTGTCAATGAACAGAAATTATCGTTATTAGAAGATGCATTATGCAAAGCAAATACAGGCGATCCAAAAATTATCTGCAGTATTATCAATGAGTTCTCGGGCACTCCTAAGTTGAAGGAGAAGAGTCAATACTTTCGGTATATTTCCCTCATATTCATATTTTCTTCTTTTTTTCCTTTTTCCCTGTAACCGTAGTATTTGGCACCTTTGGTCCGACTACTTAAGATTCATGCAAAGTTTCTCCCTCCACATGAACTGGGCAAATCCCAACCAATGAGTTTGACCCTGAAAGGGATCAACAGCATTTGGCGGAAATTGAACCTGGGTTTTATGTTCTCTGTTAGTAGTTTTGTTATGCGACTGGATGGTTGTGTTTGTCAACATCCCTTATAAGATTTTGGTATTTTCTATATACGGAACTGCAATCAGGTAATAAACCTAAGAGCATCTCCAACAAGTTCTCTAAAATATAAAAAAATGGAGATTTTGGAGATCTTTTTGCTCCAACAGATTCTCTGATAAGAGAAAACAGGAGAGAGTATACAAGTCTCCAAATTTGGAGAATTCTCAAAAATTTAAGCTAATGGAGTTAAATGTAACCTTTTAGAGATTTTAGCTTTTGATTCTCCATTTTGAAGAAATTTTAGAGAATCTGTTGGAGATGATCTAAGAAACTGAAGTGCTCTGATTTGTACATTGAACATGGACTTTGACAAAATCCTTCAGCATTCTTTCTCGATTTCATGCTATGCATCTTATGTTTGCTAACTACGTACGTAAATGATATAATACTTATGTGTCATTCATGATTCCACTTTTACTACCATATGCTGCAGGCTGAAAACTATTAATAGGTGTTTCTCTCGGAGAACGGTTGAAGAGATTATCTCTGCAATTGTAAGTTCTAGAGCTGATTCATATTAACATGAAATGTTTCCGGTTATGCATTTGTCATGTGACTACATTTTTGTTCTTATGTAAAATCTGTTATTCTATCATTCCCACGAAAATTGCAGCATATGACTTGAAACATGGTTCGAGTAAAATGTTTGATTATTTGTCAAAGCTATAAAACGTCCATCCTTAAGCACAAATAAAGGAACCTTGTCGACTTGAATCATCATGATCAATGCTTCAGAAATAACATCGTTTATAATGCACAAACTATGAACTTGAAATTTTCAACAAAATTTTTTGCAATTTTTATTGGAGTTGGTCTCATAGTCAATCAGGCTTATGCCATTATGCTCACAAGAAGAAGCTTGCATTAACCAAAGGGTAATTGGCCCAACGGTAACGATTATTGATTACCGGTAGAGCCCAGCCTCCCACGAGATCAAGAGTTCAAACCTCATGAGAGATGAGTGTCATGAATATTTGTCATATATAAATATTATATATATAAGAAGAATCTTGCATCAGCTAATTGATCTTTCCATGCTGGTACTCCATATGAGAGTTGTCGGTATTTATCATATATGTTCCTATATAATGCATCATTAGCGGATCAAATGGACCGCCTCTAATACTGGAGCTCATACGTAGAAATGAAATTGTTCCAATCTTCATGAGATGGAGGAAGTATTATTTGCTAGTTTCTAACTGAAATGGTTATGTTTTTACTTAATGACTCATTTGTGATGGTATGATGGTATTTCTTTTCTAGGAGAAAGAGGCTTCAAAAAACATGGATGATTGGATCACTTGGACTATCCAGTCTTTGAAGAAAGCATCACCAACAAGTCTCAAAATTTCTCTTCGCTCCGTAAGGGTTCACCATGCCCTTGATTTTAAATATTTAATTAGATTTGTCAGAAAATCATTTACATCGTAAGCCGATCTTTTACTCAGTTGCTTGAATGATAAAGAAAGGAAAAGAAAAGCAAAGTTTCAGCAAATCACTCGATGTTAGAACACTGTAAAATAATAACATATTCTTTATAGCCGTATATATATTAGGAAAGGCAAGGATTATACAATGAATTATATTTTCTTTTCATGGTAAAAGATAAACAAATCACCAAAGGGTCATTGCCCAGTGGTACCTGGGTTACCGGTAGATCCCAACCTCCCTGGAGTTTAAGGGTTCATGCCTTACCAAAGGTGAGGGAGGAGTGTGTGTGTTTTGCCTTATATCATTATTATATACTTCCAAAAAAATAAAAAAATTGCTCGTTTCGTTAAACTATTTCGCCATTCGCTTACAGATTAGAGAAGGGAGACTTCAAGGTGTTGGTCAATGTCTAATCCGTGAATACCGAATGGTTTGTACTGTCATGCGAGGAGAGTTCAGCAGGGATTTCTTTGAGGTACCAATTTAGTACTTTATGTGCCCATAAAAATGTTTGACCAAACAAATGGCTCGAGAGTTCAGAGAAGTATTTTACTTTTAACCATGTCTTAAATACCCCTCACAAAATACAAGAGTCTTGCATATCCAAATAACTGTCATCAATTCTTTGTATAAATAACTATGGGTACTTCGGTAATTTTAACTTTAATCTTTCCGAAAGAAGTTGTAATGCCATTTTTCATGGAGTTAGGAATCTTGATGGGGAGTATTATTCTTTTCCACTTGAATTTTGTAGTCATACAAACCACATTTTTGTGTTTCAATGGCAAAATGCATCGAAATATAATGAAGTTGCCTTAGTTCCTATTTAATGCAATGATTTTTTCTTCTCAATCAATGTAAAAAAGTTTCAAAATTTTCTATTTTTACCCCCCATTTTGATCGGTAAATTGTTGATCTTGTGACATTTGATGATGTGGATGTCAAGTTTTTCACCTACTTCACAGTAACCCTGTATATATTTCATAAACCTTTCGTAAACGGGTATCCACGTCATCAAATGTTATAAGATAAGTAGGTTATTGATCAAAATGAGTACAAAATAAGAAAATTTAAAACTCTCTTACATCGATTGAGAGAAAAACTCTTCGTTCCTAAATAGGTACTAAACCAAACTCCGTTGCATTTTGATGCATTTTGCCGGTGTTTCAATGCAAAAACATTGTCATCAGTGTTGATGCTTTTACATGGTCTGGAAGTCAAGAAGTACTCCCTCCGCCCCAAAATGAATGTCCTCAATGAAAAAGGCACACAATTATAGAAATATGTAAATATTACACTTTTTTATTAACAAAATGACAATTGTACCCTTAATAATAGAGGGAGTAATTGAATTCCTCCATATCATAATTAAGGATAAAATTGGAAAGTAGGTACTTACCTTTGAAAGTGGACATGGACAAACTAAAATAGAAATGTCAACACTTTGTACTTCGGGACGGAGGAAGTATCAATCTGGAAAACATAACTTGTCCCTGTCTGCATATCACTTGTACTTTATTTAATGGAGATGGTACCATCCTGCGGTTTTTCCTTCAAAAACCTTTTGACTCTTTCTGATGCAGGGATGCAGGGCATTGCTGCTAGACAAGGATAAAAACCCAAAGGTAAGTGACACTTTCTGCGACCGAACATCCTGCACCCAAACTAATATCTGTAATATCTGCTAACTTTTCTCTTCTTACGGTTTCATCCTTTTAGTGGGAACCTTCAAAACTTGAGCTTGTGAGCGATCATATGGTTGATCAATACTTTGCAGCAAAAGATGATGAAGATTGGGAAGATCTCAAACTCCCTCCCAGGTCAAACTTACCTTCACATGCCATTGCTAAACTCTGAGCTATCAGTAAGAACTAAACCATTTATCTCCTCTATGGTGTTAATGGCCTCGTAATTGTGATGATTAATGTCAAAAGCATAATTATTTATACTGCTTATTTGTAATCAAACAAAATTAAATGAACCCAAATGTATCTAACTAGGAGATAGGGTCTGGAGAGGGTAGGATGTATGCAAACTTACCTCTCCCCAAAGGGTAATAAAAATGTAAATTTATGACTACCCAATTGGCATTGTGTTCAATCTAAAGCATATGCAGTTACAAATTACTACATCACTATTTGTGGTAACTATGGTTTGCTGCTGTAGGTTCACTTGTAATATGCAAGGAGTTTAAATCGTTCTGTTGGTATTACGAAACGATGGATGTCATTAATGATCGCTAACAGTAAACCATATGCACATTTGGGCAGCGAATGTTTTGTGGGTAGTGACAAAATGACAATATGTTTGATGTTTGTAATGTTGTAAGGATCATGCAAGAAGTTAAACATTTTGTCGGAAGACGAAAAATTTCAATATCATATATGATTACACTCTTTCGAGTGTGTTGAATCATATATGATTTTGAAACTTCTTGCCTTCTCACAAAATGTTTACCTTCTCGTTTAAACCTTCCGCCATATATATATATATATACATATATATATATATATA